CGAAAGGCAGTTTACACAAATATATTATTTAGAAAAGGAGAAAAAAAGAAAAAAGCAGTATCTATGACCCAGTTTTTACTGAGGATGCTCTGCAATAGCTCCAGAAGCTCCTTATCTCCTTTCTCCACAGAGCAGGGACACAGCACTTGTGCCTATTCCCAGGCCACTCATAACCTGCTCACCAAGAGCTGTGGTAGCATGACCAGCTAATTTTTCAAACACAACTAATTAGTTTATAAACTGATGGATGCAAAAGGTCCAACTCACCAGTGTCATGTCGTCACAGCAAGCGGCACAAGTACAGGAGGCAGCGTGAGGGTTTAAAATCCCATCCTGGAATGAGAAGTGACCAGCTCAGCACCACAGTCACCAAAATTACTGAGAACACACCTGTGTTCTGCCAAAACATCTGGATGGCTCCCAGAGAAAGGTACTCCCTCCCTCCTAGACCCTCTACAGTAACAGAGGCCAGTTCCTCACACCGCAGCCATGGGGTGAGGGTCAGGAGAGAACAAAGGAAAGCCAGACCACTTCCACACAAAAAGACCAGGGTATGTGAATCTGAGGCTTTGTCCTGCCCAAGCAGAAATTCCCTGTCAGCCCGATGGCAATGCAAGAGTTCTGCATGAGACTCCTGGGTGTGCAGGAAATAAAGGGTCCAAATGCTCAAAAAGTGGTGCAAATGAAGAATACATGTGTCAGGCAAACAGAATGAAGGAGATCTCACAGTGAGAGCCCAATTCCTGTGACACAGCTCAAGGTTGGGCTTCATCCTGCAGAAACTCCCTCCCCTTTCCAGTACAGGCAGGATTCCCAGTGTGCTATTAGAGACACATCTACAAAAACTCCCCTCAGGTCACTGAGTCCCCACCACACCCGGTGTCACTGCAGGTGCCAGCACCTCCCACTGTGCAGAGGTAGCCCCTGGCCCTGCCAGCCCCTCCCTGCAGGAAGGAGGGAGCCAGGGGAGCCTTACGTGGATAAGGCACTGCAGGGGCCGCCCGGCGTAGCGGATGCTCCTCTTCCAGTCCTTGCTGCTGGCTCGGCCCGCCATGGCCTCGAACTCCGTGGGGCTGTACCAGTTGTCCCCCTGCTTAATGCACCTGCCACGGCCCCCTGAGACAAAGCAGCAGAACACACTGTTAGTCCAGCTTAGGGGTCATTTTGACACTTCCCTGGAGAAGGAAATACGGAAATTCCTGGGCAAAATAGCCGTTAATACACAGTCATCATCAAATGTGCCCGTCTGCTGCTTCCCTCCACCCTGGGAGAACCATGTCCAGTTACTATTATGGCTGTGACAGTGACTGGGCATGTTTAGAGAGAGCCAACTCTGGGCCTCAAAAGGCTACAAAAATTGTTCCTCTACAAGAAGGAAAAGGCTTTCTTGCATAAACACCATGAATTTAAGCCTTTTCTTTGCACTTAAATTTCTGGTCTTTCTGGTGATGAAGAAAACTCTCTGTCCATGAAGCAAGGGCTGTGCTGGGCAGCCAGGCTGCTGCTTCTCCAGCTTCCCCACAAGGATAAGTGAGGAGGAGCTCAGGAGCCCTGTGAGGAGATAAACTCTCAATTTTCATTCCAGCAGGGATTCTTTAGGGCTTTGCAGAAACACAAGCCTACTCCTCAGATGAAAAAAATGTTAGAGGAGTTGGCCTCTTCCTGAGGACACTCACTGCATGGCAGCCTGGATCCCCACAGGTTTAGGAAAAAGTTAAAAAGCCTCTGAAGAAAGAGCAAAACAGATGAGAACAATAATACCAAAAGGCACTGGGCTGTCTTGGAAACTGTCTTTTTTTTTTTGCCCCTGACAATCAGCCCTTAGGAAGAGCCTGATGAAAAGAAGAGTGTAGAAGGAGCTGTCCCACTCCTCCCCCAGGCCATGGTTACCTGAGCCGAGCCTGTTCTTGTACAGAATGCCACTGATATTCCGGCACCTCACCGGGAGCTCGTTCTCGTACACAGACGGGTCCCAGTTGTACTTGGTCCCAGTTTTCCCTTGGACGGTTGTTAACGGGGTAGGAGGAGACTGGGGTCCTTGGAGAAAAGAAACCAAAAAGAAGAGTGGCTGTTCCATCTCACAGCTGGGGCAGCAGGGCCCAGGGGACTGGAGCAGCTGGAACATCCCCACAAAGGTGCACCACAAAAAATTCGGCTTAGGCGAACTGAAAAGGACTGATAATTGAGCAAACTGCACCAGAGGAAAGGGGCTCTAACAGGGAATAAATGCTGAGGTTATACCCTGACCCTCACACCACCCGTAAGGAACTGGCTGGACCTTCCCGTTCCCAGGGCCGATCCTGTGAGGAGTTCGTGCCACCTTGTGGGCAGCAAGGAAACTGCCAATCAGCCCTGAACAAAACCCCCGTGATAAAGACACTGAAACATCAGCAAGTGGCCTGAATGGAGACAAAAATGTATTCCAGGACCCTTTAAAAGGAAGCCACGTGCAGAACTGGGAGACTCGTATTTTTATTGTCCATGTCAAAACGATTCCTGTGCCCTCGGGGGTGGGATGGCTGTAGGAGGCCCAGCAGCAGGGCGAGATTTTTCAAGTAGCTTCTTTGCCAGGGTTAGGGCAAAGAATGAGGAAACGAAATATATTTATAACAGGAAATTAAAAAAAATACTAAGTATTCTTCTACTCCCAAGGACTGCAAGATCAAGGACTTGATACATTAAAGGTCTTTTCCCACCTAAACTAAGTGATGGCTGTAAGCAGGGACAAACGATCCTTACAATATTGTGCACATTTTTAAATCCTAGGAACACAGTGGGAGTGAAGAAGAAGGCATCCCCCTGGCAGAATGACCCCCGAGGAGCAGGTTGGCTCATACCTGGTGTGAGAGGTGCCGAGGGCCCCTTGATGCCTGTGGTTTCCACGATGCTCCCGTCCGTGTGCACCACGATCAGAGTGGCTTTCTCAGGGTTCAAGCTGTCCCCAATCTGCAGGGCTGTTCTCCCAGACTACAGAAGGAATCAGGAGTTTAAATTGATTAAAAGAGTTAAACACCAATAGATTTCAGTATCCCCCAAGGGTACCCTAAAACTGCAATCAGTAGGGCAGTTATTAGGTTAATTTTGGAGATTTCAGCCAAGCAAATTCAAATGTTTCATGTTCCAGGTCGCCAGTCCCATTACAGAATGATTAGATGGGGGTGGAAAGGCAAAAAAATTATGAATAAAAAACTGCACGTCCCCCCGCTATATGGGTTTGTGGTTTAAAGTCTGGATAGTGCAATAAAAATAGATGTTTGACCTTACTAGAGCTCTTTATTTACACCGAGCAAGTGAGACTTTGCCAAGGCCCTCAGATGAAAGGCCAGACTTACCAACACGTGTCCTGAAATTGAAGCTGCATTGGCCACAGACGTGGTGAAAACATTGTCTGCAGAGGCCCCCACGTTGGCTACTGTCACTGTGGTGACTTCTGCAACGTAAAACAGGCATTAATTTAACATTTGGCTGCATCCAGAAAGCCTGATAAACAGCTAAAACACCAAATGAATGTAACTGTGCCTATTCTAAAATAATTTTATTTTTCATGACACCTCCAAGTTGTTATAAATGCAATCATTGTGATTTATATCAAGCTTTGGGTTGCACTGGCTTTAACCTCGAGGCAATGACAGTTGCTATGAGCATGTGATGAACTAAGGGAAAAATGAATATCGTATCTGTACTCGAACACCCCCAGATGAGCTGCTTTTAATGAAGAGGGGTGACTGGAAACACCAGGATAAAGTGAACAACTGATTGTCCCCTTGCCATGTGTTAATACCTAAGTTCTCATTACAAGTTAGAAACTGTTCAAACTTATAGTCAAACGTCTCTGTGGTGTTCAGCCTAGCTAAAATCTGAGGGGTTTCATGTGTGGTGAGGGTGAAAAAACAGCCGGAGCGGAGGTGGAGACCCCCAGGCGGGCACGGGGGCTCTGGGATGTTGTGGTAGCGCGGCTCGGCTGCAGAGCCCTGCGTGTCTGGGGCACTTTGTAACGGGACACGGGCAATGTGACTGCAGGACTCCCGGCCCTGTGCGTGAGGGGGCAGTGCGGGCCGTGCCCAGGGCGGGGGCGCGCCCCGCGGGGCCGTGCGGGAGCCCCGGGCGGGCCGAGGGAGCGCTGCCCGCCCTGACCTGCGAAGGCGGCGGCAGCGGCGGCCTCGTCGGCGCTGGGCATCGGCGGCGCTCCCATCTCGATGTGCTCGGCGTCTGCCGCCATCACCGTCACCGCCTCCTCCTCCTCGGGCTCCGCCTCCCCCTCAGCCGCTCGCGGCGGCTCCTGCTGCTGCTGCCCGGGCCCCGCGGCCAAGCCGAGCCGTGCGGCCGCCGGCTCGCCGTCGTTGTGCTCCATGCGCGGGCCCGGGGGAGCCGGGCCCGGGGGGGCCGAGCCCGTGCCCCGGGGTGAGGGGTGCCGGGCTGAGGGGTCCCGGCGGGTGCTGAGCCGAGCGCGTTCGGGCCCGTCCGGCGGTTTCCGAGGGCGCCCGAAGCGCCCCGAGCCGCCGGGCGCGCGCTCCCCGCGCTGGCCAATGGGGCGCGGCCGGGCCCGCGCGCGCGGCCCGCGGCGGTACCTGACGGCGCGGGGGGAGCCGAGCCCGCCCGAGCGCGGCCGAGCCCCGAGCGGCCCGGCCCGGCCCGGCCGGCGGAGAGTCCCGAGCGCGCTCGAGCCGCTTCCGATCTCTGCCGAAGGCGGGAACGAGAAGAGCCGATCTGTGCCGAGTCCGCTCCGATCGCGCCCGAGCTCCGCTCGCCGGCCCGCACGGAGACGCCCGAACGGGCAGCGCCCGAATCCGCCCGAAAGCGGCCGAACCGGGCCGAGCGCTCCGATCGCGCCCGAAGGCGGGAGGGCGGGGCGAGCGGCCGCGCGGGGGCTGTCGGGACGGCGGAGGACCGGGCGCGGGGCGGGGCACCAATATGGCGGCGGGGAGCCGAGGTGAGCGATGTCGCGATAGCGGCACGACAGCGGCGGCGACAGCGACACGACAGCCATTTCCGGGGCCGAGGGGGAGGGCTCTCCCACCGTACGAGAGGAGACCTCTCGCGGGGGAGCACGACTAGAGCGGGGCGGGGCCCCGACCGAGCCCAGCCCCGGTGCCATATCGCGACAGCCCCAACACTGCGGTGAATCCCCTTAGCAGCGTGAGCAGGGCCTTGGCGCTTGTGCGGGATTGGGACAACCTCTGTCCCCGGGCAAGCCACTGTCCTGAGCCCGAGAGACCCCCCTGGAAAATGCAAACCTTGGCTTCCCATCCCGAACCGTGGGATTGAGGGGAAGCTCCTCATTAGCGAGGCCAAAATGAGTCACTGCCAATTCTTTCAAACGGGTCAGGGTTCTCTTCTAAAAATGCACGTTTGCGGCCTGGGGAGGCAGAACTGGTTTGGACAAGTTTTGCCACCCAAGCCCTAAAGGTTCCTCCCGCCGCGTTTGCGCAGGGAGGGGCTGGCGGTGCCGGCAGAGGAGGGATTCTCTGCCCGGTAAAAGTGAGACCGTTCTTTGAGGACAGGGGTCACGGTCCGCCCGCAGCCACCATTCCCAGTGTCACTCACAGTCGGTTCTAGAATCAACACCAGTCCGGATCATTGATAAAGGCGTTGTTGGCTAAAGCACTGAACGGATACATTCAGCTGGTTCAGTGATCCCTTTCCCGGGATGCTCGGCCTTTCCCTGTGCGGTGTCCCGCTCTCCCCGAGGTGGCAGCACATCCTCAGGAACAGCGGCTGCCACCCCGGCCCGGGCACCGCCCCTCCCGGGAAAGAACTGAGGGAATCAGGGCTTAGAAATGAACCTGGGGAGGGAATTCCCTGAGGGAATTCTCTCGGGGCTCCCTGTGTGACTTGTACTAGTGTGACTGGCCCCCGGCACTGGTGCTGCAGCTGCAGGTGTGGATATTGAGTCAACACAGAATCATGGAATGGGTTGGGTGGGAAGGGACCTTCAAGCTCATCCAAGGACACCTTCTACTAGCCCAGGTTGCTCCAAGCCCCATCCAACCTGGCTTTGGACACTTCCAGGGATGGGGCAGCCACAGCTTCTCTGGGCAACCTGTGCCGGGGCCTCCCCACCCTCACAGGGAAGGATTCCTTCCCAATATCCCATCTAACCCTGCTCTCTTGGAGCTTAAAGCCATTCCACTGGAGTCCCAAACTGGACACCTTAACGAGGTGCCTGGTGTTGGTGGGGATTCATTTGGGGCCAGGTGCATGAAACTGAGGTGCTGAGGACATGGACCTCAGGGATCCAGGGATGAGGATGGGGATGTGACAGTGAAATGGCCTCTCACAGGTGCCTCTGCTCCCTCTGGAACAGCAATCCCAACTTTGCAATTCCTCGTGTGTCTGAGGCAGGCCAACAGTATTAATGAGGAACTTTAGAGGTGCTGTAGGAGGTTGGTGCCATCTTGTTCAACGGGAATTTCATCTGTTTTTTACTGAAGATAATAGGGAAAACAGTGAAATGTTCTGGTTGGATCACTGAAAATCCTTGGTTTGGTTTCTGTGGGCGATGGGAACACGCTGAGGTTTGACAGGGAATGACTTTGTGGAGGGAACCAGTTTGGAGGGACGGTGTTTGCAGGGATGGTGTTTGCAGGGGTGTTACTCAGGGGCACCCAGGAGCCCTGTGCTCTCCACAGACTTTCTCACAATTTGCAAGCAAATGGTCCATTCTAGTTCCCATGTCTCCCTCCTTCCCGCATAGTTAGAGGGGATGAGGTGTCACCTGCTGGGAAAGGACAGGATGAACAAGTTCTGGATAATGCCTGTGCAGTCCTTTAGGCTTTGAAGGAGCCTCAAGTTCCTCAGTGAAAGTGGTTTTTCCCAGCAGGGATTTCCCCCAAATTATTTTAGGCTTCATCTACTTGAAAAGGTTATTTTTGGAACCTGAACTCCAGGATCTGAGGAAACAGTAAATGTTCCAGTGAGCTGGAAAAAGAGATCCCTACAGCATCCTGGTACTGTTGTTTGAATGTCTCTGCTGCACTTCTGGTAAACATTTAGACTTATTTTCTTCTCTTTATTTTCTCCTTCTCCATGGAAAGGAAGAACTTCAGAGGTTGTATCCTTTCTGTGCCATTCCTGCCCTCGTGTGGGAATCCTTGGGAAGACTGGCTGAAGTGGATCCACATGTCCTGCCCAGGAAATCTGCACAGTGCTCATGAGTTTTCCATTGGAGCCATCCACAGGAAGCAGAACTGGTACCACATTTCTTCCACAGGGAGATGTTTTGTGCAGGTTTATCTGGGATCTGGCCCTGATGAGCTCCCACTCCTGCAGAAACCCCTTTAGCCCCCTGCAGCCGTGGCAGAGGGCTGGAAGCCTCCTTTCTGTCATCACTTCACTCTCGTTTTCTTAGGAAACAAGGCTAAAAGGTGGATTTATGGAGGGGTGGACACGCCCCCGTGCAGCACAGCTCACACACAGCTGACACAGCTCACAAGGGGTAGGAAAAGCAGCTCTCAGTTGTGTTTCCTCCTCTCTCATGGTAATTCACCCCACCTTTACTCCTGCCAGGATCCAGGTAACCCAGGAGGAGACACCCTCAGCTCTAGAGATTTCCATGCTTAGAACCTCTCTAGTAATTTTTTGCTCCACCTTCCTTCAACTGGAAAAACCCCCAAACCTGGTTCTATGTTAATGAAAGGAGCTGTTCTGGGAACTGGAATCCATCCACGGCGCGTGGGTGGGTTCAGGAGCAGGATGGGACGTTCCTCCAAAAGATGCTTGGGATGAAATCCCTGCTTGGAGGTATTCAGAGGATTTGAGAAGGGCTGGGGGAGAGAGGGGAGTGAGTTAAGTGTGTTCCTTAGGGATTTGCCTCTCTGAGTGGAGCTGTGGCCGTTCTCAGTCAGGTGACAGCACAGCTTTTCCATGCTGTGGGCAGGAAGGGGGCCTGGCTGCTGCACAGAGCCACCTCTTCTCCAAACTCCCAGGAATATGATGGACTGCAGGCTGCCAACCCTCTGTCAACTTCCTTAGGGCTGGCTAAGAGGTGTGGAAGTTGTCTGGGGCAATGTAGACGTGCACCCCCCATTTCCTCAGGCCGACAGATACCCGACTACAGACCAAATAAAGTTCCCTAAAAAAGGAACTACAGCCAAGCCTGAAACAGCAAGCTTTTATCCCAGCTCCTGGTGTTTGCAGCCTCAAGTTCCTTCCTGAACCCTCCCCACAGGCCAGGCATAGCTGGACCATTCAGTATAAAAAGGCAGAGCGGTATATTTTGGGAAATGGTGATTTTATGGAATGGGTCCCATCTCCTCTGAGAATCCTTAACAGCAGTTCTCAGCTGTCATCGCTTCCCTTACAGATCCTGTTTTATGTAAATGGGATTTATTACATCTTCTACTTCTTGGCAACTCTTGCAATGATTGTTTACAAAAGTAAGTCGCAGGTAACCCAGAGCAGGCCTTGCTCATGCACAGCTGGGCTTTGCCCTACTCCTGCTGTGTTTTCCTGCTCTATTTCCCCTGGCTTGTTCTCCAGGTCAAGTTTTCAGTTATCCAGATGATTTCCTGGCTCCTGATCTTGCTGTGCTTTTCCTTATGGCCGTGCTGGAAGCGCCTCGACTGTACTTGGGTAGGTCATGTTATCCCTGCACCTTTTTGTGGAACAGAACCTTTAAACATGAATCATTTGGAAACGGGATCTGTGTCAAAACACATCAGTTTAACAGGTATTTGGAGAGCCCTGCACCTCTCCCTTCACTCCTGAAGCCCTGGGCCAGCACCAGCACCCTCCTTTCACTAAGACAGAGCAGCTTGAAGGGCCTCCTGTCCAGAGTTTACCTAAACTTATTATAGTCCTTTCTTTAAAAAAGCCCAAATCACTATTAAAATCTGCTTGATTTTTGCAGAGATTTATGCAGGGTGGGGCTCTTGAATCCAGCTGACTGGCTGTAGGGGTGGATTTATCCTGCTGCCTTAAAGCTCTCAGTGTATTTGCTTGGAGCCTGGTCCATGAATAAAGGAGTGAGTTGCAACTCCTGTGTAGTTAAACATCAAAATCTACTGAGACAAGCCTGGAAATGGGCTGCAAGGAAGAGAGAAGTCCAGCTTCTCCTTGAAACAGGAATAGATTAGCAGGGAATAGAGAACTGTCTGTAATGCCTAAGATTTGACAGCCAGGACTGGACTTTGGGGGTCACCGAGGTGTCCTGCTGGGGGGAGGTTTGATGGTTGATTAAGAAAGTGAGTGATCAGAAAGACTGCAGCTTCAGAACTGATTCTTGTGGTAAGAAAATGTGCCCTGACTGTGACTATCCACTGATGGCTCTTTATTTAGATGAACTGTGATTCATTTCTCTGTTTTGAAATGGATTGTCCATTGGTGTTGGGTTTGCTGTTAATTTGCTGGCAGAGCCTTGATTTAGGCTGGTATTTCAATGTCTTCTGAGCCTCTGTAAGGCTGAGCAAGAGCAAGGTAATAACCAGAGCCTTTTGGAGGAGGAATATTCTGGAGTTATGACCTGAGCTACTGTCAGAAGGAATCAGACTCCTCTGGCCTTTTGTTTCCTCGCAGGTTGCAAGGGAAACCTGAGGGAGGAGGAGGGTGCGCTGGGGCTCAGCCTGGGGCTCACGGTGGGCAGCGTGGTACTCAGTGTGTACCTGCTGGCCTGGCAGACCTACGTGCTGTGGGCTGACGTCGTGCTCACCGCGGTGCTGCTCTGTGCCTACGGGCTGGAGTCGGGGCTCAAGGTCATGGCCATCGCTGCCTTCGTCAGCTGAGCCCGGCACACTGGCCTTCCACAGCACAGGGGGCTTTCAGTTCAAGCATTTAGTTCCTTTGCGTGGAGAACTTGTGTTTCAGGTAGAAATTCTCGGGGCGGAGATGTCCCTGCATGGCAGGTGAGACGTCCTGCCCAGCCCCTCCGTGACACTGTCCTACTCCTGGCTTATTTATGGGCAAAGGCAAAGGATGAATCGGCAAAACCCTCAATGCTCAGGCACTCACCGGGGATCAACTCCAGCCCAGGGCAGGAGCCAGTGCATCATCCCTGCTGGGGTGGTGGGAGTTTTCGTGGCATGGCAGCAACGTGCTGCAGCCCAAGTGGCACAGAAGTGAACCAGGCCAGGACTCACTCCTGCCTCGCCACTCACACGGCCGTACAGCTCCTCTGCTGCTCTCATTTGTGCTTCCAGACCTCAGTGGGAATTTCCCTGACTTTAGTAGGGCAGAACCTGGTGTATCCCAGCGGGAGACAGTGGAACTGGGTTTTGTGCATACCCAGAGAGCTGAGCTGCAGGGTCTGGGCAGCTTTTCTTGCTGACATGGAGCGTGAGGGGATGTTTGGGTAAATATGATGGCCTCAAAATGAACAAAACCATTCACCACTCACACTGACTTCTTTTTCAAAGTCAAACAGAATGTTGGCATGTGGATTTCTATTTGGTGTTGATTACCATTATTCTGCAAAAATTACTACATTCAAGGCTTGTCTTTTAACTGAAGAACTTGTGCAAGTTCAGAGTTTTTTACTGTATCAAAAACATGTGTTAATGAAAAGCTTGGGGAGTTTGTGGGGTTTTGAAGAAACAGGTTTTATATTCAGAATTTCCTATTTTTGTATTTATTTATTCATTCAAATAAATAATGGTTTAGATCTAAGGAGTGTTTGAAGTGCAGAGCATCTTGTTCAGATCCTGGGCTCCAGCTAAGCCACCAAAGGAAGACGCAGGTGTGTGGATGTGTGTGAAACCCTCTTCTGATCCTGATCCTGCTGCTGTGTGTAGGCCCTTCTCCTGTCCTGGGAAGGTCTGAGCTAATTTGCTCTCATCAGGGGTTGAAAATTGAGGGGTGCAGACCTGAGGCACCTCAGCCTATGCTGCTCTTTGCTTCTTGGTGGTGGTAGAAAGGAACAAAAGACACAGAAGTTGCTGTGGAAGGACCTAAATTCATCCCTGAACATTCAGTGGTTGAACTTGATGATTTTGGAAGGCTTTTCCAACCTTAAGGATTCCAGTTCTTAAAGAGGGCTTACAAGAAGGCTGGAGAGGGAGTTTTCACAAGGGCCTGGAGTGACAGGACAAGGGGGAATGGCTTTAAGCTGAAGGAGGGTGGGTTTAGATGAGATATTGGGAAGAAGATCTCCCCTGTGAGTGTGGGGAGGCCCTGGCACAGGTTGTGGCTGCCCCATCCCTGGAAATGTCCAAGGCCAGGTTGGATAGGGCTTGGAGCAACCTGGGCTAGTGGAAGGTGTCCCTGCCCATGGCAGGGGGTGATATGAGATGAGCTTCAAGGTCCCTTCTGACCCAAACCATTCCATGGTTCAACTCCCAGGCCAGGTAACAGCAGGTTCTGTCCACATGAGACCACTGCAGTCACAATCACAGTACCCATTGGCACAAATCCCCTTGGACAGGTCCCATTTAGTCCATGGCACAGCTGACCCTTTGCTGCACCCGTGAAACAACATCACAGCAGCAGAACTGGGGCTAAGGAGCACCCAGAAGCCACCAAATGTTTCTGTGTTTAATCTGCCTGAATCGAGCCCCCACCTGTTTGTCCTCCCAGGTTTGTTTGGCACGATGGAATGTGCCATCACATGCTTGTTACGAGGAGTGACCAACATTCCGAGCCGTCCCTGCCCCTTAGCGATCAATGCACACGAGCAAACCCTTCCTGCATGGGGACAAATACAAGCACAAACTTTTCCTGGTGTTCACACCCACCTTGCACAAAGGTCTGGCTGCAGAACATCTGTCAGGCTTTACAAAGGACACACTGCCAAGTGGCATTTTTACCTGAATGCAGGTGATCGAGCAGAGGGGGTCACACAGGTCAGCGCCGAGTCACAGCCTCCACACGGCCCCTTCCCAGGGTGACCACTGCCAACTAAATAAACACAAAACAGATGTTAAAAATGTGGGGCACCCCGTGCTCCCTGCCCACCACCCAGATGAAAAGTAAGGGTCAGAGGAGAGTGCCTGTGCTTGCTGATAGTCCATGGGGTAAATATGCACAGAGGACAATAAACATGAGTTTTTGGGCTCATTTCAGAGTAGGGCCTGTTGGCTGGAACTGGGCAGAGCCCTGGCTGGCTGTCAGTGCCTGCTGGGCTCAGCTGGCACCGACCTGGACTGGCTCCCTCACCAGGGCAGGACAGCCCTGGTGCGGTTTCAGATAAAACTGTCCATGAACTGTTTTCTGGGGTACTGCTGCTGCTGACAGCCCTTCAGTCCATGATGAAGGATGAAGTCTGGAAGCTTCAGACAACTCCTTCATCTCGGGTATTTCCAGGCTTTCAGTGGGAATTACGCTGCTGACCCTGACTCCATGACACCATCTCTCCATGCCAAGCTGGTACAAAGACCCAAAGTGAATGAGCTTCAGAGAGTTCCCCTAATCAGGAGCTCCTTTCCAAACCATTCCCACTGCTCAGAGAAGCAGGGAACACATAGTGAAGCCATTGATGACATTTGCCAGACATAAAATCGCTGGAGCTTTTAATTACGAGGCCCAGCCCTTCTGAAACAGGACAAGCAAGTTGGATGCAAACAGCATTAAAAATTGAGAGGAACACATATTTTGAGGAGCTGGGTTTGGGTGGTGTTTACTCGACAAGTCTTTGTTCTCGAGCCATCCCAGGGGTGTCTGCCGCCAACCTGATTTAAAAGGCTGATCCCAAAAGGAAAGTCAGCCCCCTGGGATTTCCAGCTTGGAGGTACTGGGAGATAGGGTGTTACTGCTGCATGACTTTGTAATGTCCCTCAGCAGGCAGGAACAACGTGCAGAAAGACCCCAGCTGGAGTAGCCCAGTGCTGAGGGAAGGAGGGAGGCTGAGGACGTGCACTCGGTGGGTTCCACACCTGGGAGCCGAGGCCGGAACACCATCGAACCATTCCATGATTCCACAGTCGCCTCTGGCCCAGCTCAACCGGCACCAGCTGTTGCAGGGAAGGTGTAATAAGCTGCACTGTGGTTTCCTTCCCTGCCCAGAGGAAAAGTTGCCTCCCTGCTCACAGTTAGAGGTTTGCTGTGGGCACAGCAGCTCACAGTAGCCCTGTCTGCACTGTGCATGTGGAGCTGGATAGCTGGCAGAGCCTTCCAGCAGAATCCTGCCAACTCCCTGTCTGCATCCCAGGCACATGAGCCCAGCCCAGCAGTCCCACAGAAATACCCCAGTGATGCACTTCAGGGAGTGGGGATCTCCTGCACAAACTCTTCTGTCCGGCGAGGCTGACGTTCCCACTGCACTTCCCTTCTGTTGGACCCACAACCCTTCCTCCGCCTGGTGGTGTGGCTGGCATTCCCTGAATCCCGCATTTCCTAGGGCTGGCTGCGTTTTCCCAGTGCATTCCCCTGGGATGTCGGCGAGGAGGGTGCTGGGGCGCCGGGCGGGCGCATCACTGCGGCTCAGCCGGGCGGAAGAGGTCTTGCTCCTGTCAAAGCGAGCTGCCAAACCCCTGTCAGGCCGGGAGCCGGCTCTGCCCTCCCGCCTGGCTCCCCCGACACGTTCCTCCCGCAGGAACTCAGCCGGCGGCTCCTCGGAGCCAGGCCTGGACACGGGCCAGGCTGCAAGCTGGGCACAAGCCCCTCTAAGAGCACAGGAGCAGCAGAAAATGCACAAATGTCCTGCTCAGGAACTTGGCCTTCCCCACACCACTGTCCCGAGGTGGAAACTTTTCCGTCTTTCTTTCCCTCGTGTCACAGTCCCAGTGTTTGTTCCCGAGCCGGTGACACGGGGTCTCTCTAGATGAACGTGCCAGGGGTTCAACACACACCCTGGGGTGGGGTGGAGGCCTGCAGGCACACTATATAAGCACTTTAATAAAACACTCTCAAAAGCCCCGATTTTTGGAGAGGACTGGCTACCCAGAAGGATCCCACCCTGCCACGGACATGTCAGTATGACACAGCAGATATTTTCCAGCCTAATGATCAGTTCATGAGCTGACCCCATCATTTTTAAAAATGTTAAATCTTAAGACAAAGGAAACTGGGCACTACAGAAGTATTTCTTTGAAAGTAAGAAGTCTGCCCACACAGGAAACTGTTTCCAAGAGTCCAGGGTCCCTCTGGGACCCCAAACACAGGGTCTCCAGGGCAGACCCAAGCACAGCTCACACACTTTCTCTGCAGTCCAGCTCAGAAACTCCAGAGTGGCCTTGCCAGCTATTACAATTTCCCTCTGGCTTTTGAAGAGCAAGAGAAGAGCAACAAGAAATAGTGTGATAAGACTGCAGCTTCTAAAAATCCTTCCCAGAGTGCCCAGGAACAACACTGGCCTTGGCACAAGGGCTGGAGCTCAAGTCCTACCTCTGCCACTCCAGCAAGAAGTGGCTCTTGCCTTCTCTGTGCCCCACCTGGGGCCCAGGTGAGAAGGGGATGGTGATCTTGCTCCTGACAACACTGATAACAGAGCCTGGACATCCCCAGGGAGGGCTGATGGTACTGCAGTGGCACAAGGGTGCTCCCTGCCAAGGCTGCTCCCTGCCCCATCCCTGGGAGTGTCCAAGGCCAGGTTGGACAGGGCTTGGAGCAACCTGGGCTAGTGGAAGGTGTCCCTACCCATGGCAGGGGGTGGCACTGGATGGGTTTTAAGGTCCCTTCTAACTCAAACCATTCCAGGATTCTGTGACCAAAAGGGTCACGTCCAGTTTTCCTCTGGCACACAGGTGCAGGGGCACACAGTGTGGGCAACGACAGGTCCCTTCATCAGGGATAGGACAGCCACAGCTTCTCTGGCCAACCTGTGCCAGGGCCTCCCACCCTCACAGGGAGGGATTTCTTCCCAACACTCGATCTAAACCTACTCTCTTTCATGGAAGAGATGGGGCAAGATGAGGAACCTTATGGCCAGGTAACCCCAAGGAGTGCCATGGAGAGGGTACCCCGATGGATGCTCTCCCCCACACCCCCGAGTGCTCTGGGGACAGGGACAGAGAGGACACTTTGCCCTCTCCCCCCATGTCCCAGCACCTTTCCCTGCTGCAAACATCAGGGAAGGGAGAGAAGGCAGGAGAGGCGCTGGAGGAAAACAACCCGTGAGCCGGCGCGGAGAGCCCTGGGCTGCACAAAAGGGGCCTTGTTCCCCCACGAGGCGATCGGGCAGCACGTCCCCTCCCTCACCGGCGATGGAAAACCGAGCTCCAAGCACTCCTTCACCTCCCCTCGCCACCTTAACCTCCCCATTGGGTACAAAATGTTCTCGGGTGCAGGAAACCTGCAGTTTAACACGTCCTGGGCTCCTGGTCCCCTTGCCCGGGGAGTGGGCGAAGGCCCCGCAGCCCCCGGCGCTCCCGCGGCCACCAGCCCTGGTTATACAGTAACCTGTTGCTCCGGGTCCCAGCTCCACCTCTCGCTGCCTCCACATCCCTCCCCTCCTCTCTGCTCTGCCAAGAAACCTCTGTCACCTGCTCTCAGACAACCGGGGCGAGCGGCACCGGGAGGAAAGGGCAGCAGGAAGCCTCAGCACGGAGACCCCAGGTGGGGTGGGCTCTGCCTCGGGCTCCCCTCCAGAGGCTGGGGCACCGGGATCGCAGGCTGTGCAGAGAGCAGAGGGAGCTTGGCTGCTGGAGAATGGCAGCAGGATTTAACTAGGAGGGCACGGAAAACTGGGAGAGAACACACGGGAGCAGAGGGAACTGCGGGAGACAAGAGCGGCTTCTCAGCACCGGTGAGTCCCTCCTCAAAACCTAAAACTTCACATCCCCCTCCCCAACATTTACCCACTTTAAAAGTCTGGCTGATTCCACTGGGGAGGGAGTGTGGCTGGGGAGGGGCTGTGTCTGGGAGAACTAGCTGGGTAGTTTTCTGTTGTTACAGTATAAAAAAGGTAAAAACCTGTACTTTTCCCAGTGTTGCGTTTTCTGGTTTGTTTCCTGTCCTGGCGATTCCCCACCGGGAGCGATCCAGTAGGTGGCACTTTCTTGGCAGCAAAATGTCCATTTGGCACAGAACGAGGCTTCTTTTTTTGTTCCTAATTAAGTCTGGAGATGTATTTTTGAGCAGCTGTTTGTTTGCAAACATCGAGGTTTCCTCTTTTTGGGACATGTGTGGAATTTTTGCCGTTCCCCACTGGGCCCCTGGATGAGCTGCCACTCTTGGTGGGTGTGCTCTCCCTGCCCCGACCCTGGCAGGACCCACCACCCTGTTTGAGCACAGAGGGAAGCTCGGAACTGTCCCGCTCCCTCCCGTGACAGCTCTGCCTCCCTCGGAGCTCTCATCTGGTTCAGAGTCAGAGCGCAGCATTCCTGTCCCCTTTCACTTCTGAGCCTGGAAAATGCCCCTGCAAACTCCACCGAGCACAAGGCTCAGGGACAAATGATGGGACTGTCATTATTTTCAAATACTGGAAATAACTGTGACACAGCACAGGAGTAAAATCCGGTGACTGCCCTGCTGTAATTAGGGCAGCGGGCAGTAACGCTTGCGCTGCTGGGCTGCTCTGAAACGCTGCCACAGGGGTCGGATCCATCGGCGGTTGCTCGTCCAGGAGTGCCAGCAGTGGGCTGGGATCTGCCCCTAAAAAGGACTTTTTCTTAGTAGAAATAATGACAGCCAGAGGCTCAGCCCCCGGCTGACACAGCAGGGACCCACGCAGGGCTTCACCCGCGTATGCCGCAGGCAGCAGCACATTCCTGGCTCCATTTCGTTGCGTGGCGGAGTTTTCAGCTGATTAAGAAGGAAAATTAGTCCTCCACAGACAGAAAGGGCAGGCAGTGGTGCTGAATCAAGGAGCCCTTTAAAGGAGGATTGGGAAGAGGGGCTTGGGATTCACTGTGGGAATGTGTCTGTGAGAAGCAAAGGTCAGTGCTTGGCCTGGTTTAAAACCAAGGCTTGAACTGGTGTTTGGGACAGCCCTAAATCTTGGTCCCTGCTGCGGTCAGGCCTGCTGCTGGTTTCTGCTGCTGAAGTCTTGGGAAGGCTGGCAGAGGAGCTGCTGCTCTTCCAGCTGCATCCCAGCCCTCCAGGTGGTCCAGCACCACATCTGCTCCTCTGTATTTGGCAGGGCAGGATGGGTCTGCCATATAGTCACAGAGCTTAGAGGGACTGGGAGTGTTTTTAGGCACCTGAGGAAACACTGAGCACTGGCATTGTTGGACTGGATGCTGGGGAGGTCCTGGGAAGGGACCAGCTGTGGGTGATGCTGCTGTGCCCACCCAGCACTGGGGGGACGGAGCAGTTTGCCAGGACAAGCTTTGAGTCCTTGGCTTTCTGCCCCTGTGCCATCACCACCACTGTTGGGGTGGGCACAGACACCACACAGAGCTTGGGCTCAGCACCAGGACTGCTCTGGTCACTGAACGGGGCTGTACATGCCGGGAGGAGACCCTGCTGGGGGTGGCTGCAGGGCCAAACCTGCCACATGTTTGTTGGCATCTGCCCCTTGATGTGCTTTGGAATGTGCTGGGAAACAAAATACTCTTCGCAGGATCACAGGATCATTCTGGAAATGAAAGGTTCGGAAGAGACACTAACGCACCACAGGACTTGGGAGGTTCCAGTCCTTGTGGCAACAAAGGAAGGAGTAAAACAGGGAGAACAAATGCGTTGGCTTGTGTGGGCTTGAGAAACATCCATCTGAAATAAGCCCGGAGTGGGTGAGGGACTCTCGCAGTATTATTCCCACAGGGCTGGGGTGCTCTGGAGCTGTGTCTCTGTCACACTCTCTTCTCTCCCCTCCATGCCAAGGTGTGGAGTGCTGGATCAGGAAGGTTTGTGGCTTTGAGGAAGACTCAGGGTTTTCTCCTTGTGTGGGGCTGGTCTGGCCTCGAGTCTCCTTTCTGGATGTGCTGTCAGTGCTGCCCTTCCCCCAGGGAGATGGGAGTGCAGCCTCTACTGCTTTGGCAATAAAATAATCACCCTCTAAAAACAGTCAAACCTAGTGACTCCCAAGAAGAAATCCACTGGATTTCCGGACTGACAGGGATGATGTCCTGCCCTCCAGTAAAGCTTTATCAGCAGTGAGGTGTCTGCCTGACATGGCAGAGCCAGCAGAGCCAGCAGCACGTGACTCTGCCAGCACAGCCTCTTGAACCACCTGCTTCGGCCAAGGTTCAGCAGGTGCCCAGAAAAACACCCACCTGCCTGACAAGGAGCTATTCAAGGCTCCCACTCAAAGGGAGGGGAAGGGTGGTACCTCCAGAAACCCTTCCTGCTTGTCCAACTACATTGTACAAGAGTCTCTGCATCACCAGAAGTGGTGCCAGGCACTGTACAACGCCTGAGTGACACAGGACACGAGATCCAAGGAGGTTCAGGAGGCCTGAGATCACAGTGTGGCTCCAGATCTCCATATGCCCACAAGACCAGAGTCAGGAACACCACAGAGAGGAACATCAAGGATTTTCATGGAGTGGGGAGGCTCTGAATAGCATCTCTGTCTGCTTACAGAGGGTTTGAAATGTCAAGCTCAGGGAAAAATATGCTGTCACCCATCCCTAAAGTATTTAGTGTCCCTGCATCAAATGGGTATGAAGAGGGAGAGGAAGGGGATCCTGGGAGAGCCAGTCCCACACACTGGTGTCATGCTGTTCCCACAAGGACAAGGCCACCTCTGTGCACAGGCACAGGCAAGAGTCTGTCCTTTCCCAAGGCAGTGACAGGTTTTCTTTCTCCGGGGCTGGCGACGGTACTGCCTCCAAAACTGAAATGCACAATGCCAGGGGGTAAGCAAAAAGCGTCGGTGTTTTATTTCCTGGTGATCCAGGTAAATTAGGAGGAATTGCAATTAAGAAGGGTGGGAAGGGTGTGGAGCTGAGCTGGACCGGTTTGGAGATCTTCCCCATTCCCCTGCACTGCAACTCCCCAGGAGAGCCCAGCCCTTGTTCCCACTCCCCAAGTGCTCCCGAGGGCGTTACTGCAACGTGCTCACTGCCACTGAGGATCTGCTGAGGAACACAACAAAAGCCCCTGGGAAGAGGTGGGGAGTCACAGGCTCTGCCTGCTCAGCTGCCCTGGGACAGGGACTGAAGTGCCCAGACAAGCTGCCGGGCCCTGATTTGGTTGGAAGCCCCAAGCGAGGCTGGCGTGTTCCTGCAGGCACAGTGGGGTGAGGGACCCTCACAAGGCAGGAGGTTGATGGCACACGCTGAGCTGCTCCAGCCCATCTGGCACAGAGTCAGAACCTGCTCGGGATGCTCTGCCCTCACATCCACCCCTGCCTTCAGAGCAGGGTCCACACCAACCCCTCTCACAACCATCTTCCTGAGACTGGCAAAGACATCTCACATGTCAAAATCCTCATCTCCAGTGCCAGGGGCACATTCCCATAGTCAGTCCACAGCTGGGTCTTCACCTGCTGAGCTATCAACCCACTTCTTTCCCACTCCCTGGACACTGCCACAGCTTCTCTCAGCCATTTCAGCTGGATGGAGGAGCTGAGCACCAAGACCCAAGGCAGGAAGGGGCAGGATGGGATTTTGCAACAGGCCTGGCTATCGTGATGAGCAGGTGTGGCACAAATGAGCCCTCGTGGCTCATGGGCCTCTGACCCAGCCTTGCCCCAGGGGAGGGCAGCTCCTTGCAGGGCTGGTGGAGCAGTAACGCTCCACCTTTGTGGGCTGGGGTCTTTCAACACCACCTTGGAACAGGCCAGGAAATTCTTTCCTGGTTTTGGTTTCTGGTTGGGGCACTGGTCCCCAGAAGCTTTTCATAATTTAAACTTCTTTAAGTTTAGTCCTTCCTGGATTCTTTTTTCTTTTTTTCCCCTCTGTTTTATCAGTCTCAACCTGTCCAGATTTATATACTACAAAGGTAAAGTGCAGCCCATCTGAACGGCAATAAACCAAAGTTCAGACACCACGGATGGTTCAGAAAGTGAAACAGTGCTGCTGCTGGGACAGCGATTAGGATCAGGTGAACAGGCACAGGCTGAGTCAACACCACCCTCCCCAGACCCTTTACACCTAACTTCCCTCTCGCTGAAGATGACCAAAAGTGGGAACCATCTGGAAACCAAGATAGCTGCAATCTCTTCATGCCTTACAGGTGTTGGCTACTGGAACTGGAGCTGCCACCCAAAGCCATGCATCCCCCAAATTCCCTCGCCAGCAAATAAAAGGGAACCCCAAACCTGACTCATCTCACTGCTGTGGACAAGGCCAGTGGCTTGTCCTGGCCTGTCACTGCTCATTGCCATCATCAGGACTCCCTTGGGTCGCTCCTCATCCCACCACTGCCACCAGGCAGAACTGAGACATGTGGACACAAACTCCTCCAAGTCCTCCATGTCCTTTTCACAAGGGCATGGAGTGGCAGGACGAGGGGGAGTGGCTTTAAGCTAAACGATGGTGGGTTTAGGTTGGACATTGGGAAGAAATCCTTCCCTGTGAGGCTGGGCAGGCCCTTGCACAGGTTGCCCAGAGAAGCTGTGGCTGCCCCATCCCTGGAAGTGTCCAAGGCCAGGTTGGACGGGGTTTGGAGCAACCTGGGCTAGTGGAAGGTGTCCCTACCCATGGCAGGGGGTGGCACTGGATGGGCTTGAAGGTCCCTTCCAACCCAAAGCATTCCAGGATCTATAGTAAGTCAGGTTTGAGGCTTTCAGTGGTGACTGCATGGAGGCCAAGCAGTGACTCTGCCTTCGCTCTCAGTGCTCAGATTAACACAGAGGTGTCCATTTGCCTGAGCCCGAGACAATCCTTTCATCAGTAAATTCACTTCATAAAAACACCG